AAAATTGTGGGTTCTATTGAGACTTTTTCAATTTTTGACTTAAAAGAACTGAAAACTTCTGTTTAGACTTATAATATCTACCACGATGTAGTACTCATTCACCTATTTTCTGTAATACAAATAAAAAAGCCTTTCATTTTTGACTCCCTATTTAAGATTGGGGCTTTCACTTTTATGATTAAGCCTTCMTGTCCAGGGTGAGAGCCACCCGACATGCTCCTTCTGTTTTTGGGAAAGAAACATGTTACACAGCTCTTAGATCATGCTGCAAAGAATCTCAGGTAGGAAATAGAGTGTAGGAAATGAAGTTTAGGTCACGGAATATACAGTCTCTGCCATGACAACCAGTTAATGCATGTTTCAGGGTCTGTGTTGGCCAACTTTACAACATTATGAGTTAATATGGTTCACTGTATTTTCATCCATTGGCAAATGACTGACATGTAATAGTATCAAATCATTCCTAGGAAAAGGACAATCAAGGGTTGGAGTATACATATGAAAACTTGATAACTGCTGCCTTTGATTTGTTTGCTGCTGGCACAGAGACAACAAGCACAACACTGAGATATGCTCTCCTGCTCCTGCTGAAGCACCCACAGGTCACAGGTATGAACACAGATGAGGAGCAAGTGAACTGAGAGAGATGTTGGGAAGAAGTGCTTGGTCCTCACTTGTTTGTCTTAGAGAAGCTTCACTGTTTAGTTTTCTCTGCCACCAAGTGTGATCAGGAGGAGGGCTGAGAAAGTGAAGAGAGCATGGCAGTAGGAGAGGCAGTGGAACCCTGGTGCAGTGTCTGCATTTCATTGGAGGTGATTTGTGGTCGCAGAGCCAGCATCCACGGGCATGGGAATGTCTCCTGTTTGTATCCCCCAATACCACTTGGTTCAGCAGATAAAGTCTTGAAGATGCCTCTCCTCATTCTGCTAATTCTAATTCTGGGGTAGGGAAAAGGAAACTCCTTCTTGAAGCTTTGGTGGAAATCTTAGAATGTAATGAAGCTTCCTGAGATGATTCCTCACTTGGAAGTATTCTATTCATGTATATATATATCAGAAAGGTATTTTAATTTTGGCAGATCTGTTCCTAATTTTTTAATTCATCATTTCAACAGACTGCTTCCATAAAACTTGTCTTTCATGGATTAAGAACATTTCTTGAGGGGTGGTCAAAAATTTGATGTTTTATCAATACCACTTTAAAATCACCTTTAAAGGAATTTTGTTCCTGCAGTAGCAATAAGCATACTTTTTTTGTGTCTTGTGTGAGGATTCCACTAAAAGGATGRCAACACAATTAATTGTTAGACTCATTCTCTTTCAAGCAAGAGAGGACGGGAACAATAAACACTTTATATACTCTTCACCAAGTTTCTTAATCATAGAAGGCAGATTCAAGGATGGTGATGGAATCTAAAAGGAGGATGGTCTGGTAACCTGAATATTAGAAGAGGAAAATTTATGAAGAGAGAAAAGCAAATTCTGTTTTTAAAATTCCAACAAGATTCTCTTGTTTGGAAATAACAGGAATCAATGAAGGGAGAGTGAGGTTGAAAAGGGAGGCTTTTCTGCTCAGGCAAATCACTTGTCACCTAATAGCATTAAACCATTCTATTCACATCTGCACACAGCAGGTGACAAATATTTTCTTTGCAGGAAAAGAATTGCAAGGGAACATACTGAGCCTGAGAATCCATTTCCTTAGGGACCTTATGTAGTGTCAAAGAAAGATTGAGTTGTGGGGCTGAAAGGAAGCCTTGGAGAATCTGACCTCTTCCTTCAACATCAGAAAAGTCAGGTGCTCTCAAGGGAGGGAAGAACTGTTGAGTAAAGACTTTCATAATTTCCCATCTTAGTAGAAAATTCTTCCAATCATCCGTCAGAGTGAAATAAAAGCATCTACCCAAAACACAGGGTTGTAGCATTGCATATCACAAGGGATGAAGTATTCATTACAACATTCAGAGAAATATCCCATGACTTATGTGAAACACCAGAGCAGCACCAGAATTCTCACAAGTAATTAATTTTTTCCTGTAAAATGAGAGTGTTGGGGAGACTGCTGGGTGCTGGACCTAGGAAGCAGCCTTCAGTATGAAGGTGGATGATGCAGATCACAGGAGAGAACTCAGGAACCAAAGTGATTTGAGGAATAGTCTGAGGTTTCCAACAGCTGGACAATGATTCCTGCAGTATAAAACATCTACCTGAGTACCTTGAATAATGCTAACTCAAAATTGGAAAATGATGAGCTCACATAGAGCAACTGGGAGAAGACCAAGAAAGCACCAACAATGTAACATAATCATAATTTCATATAACAGAAAGTATGTGTATATTATCAGAAGGTCATACCTTATGGATGTTGATATAAGCAAAAATTGCAGTCCAATATATCCTCGTGAATAGAGTCTGGTGGGCAATCGTGTGTGTGTGTGTGTGTGTGTGTGTGTGTGTGTGTCTGTGTCCTTTTCCAATTTTGTGCTTAAATCATTGAGTTATACAAACTCTCATTTCCACATACCTGGAAATCATTAAGTGTTGTGTAATAATGCACACACAAGAAACAGAGAATCATTATTTGA